TTTGAGCCTTTGGACACCGAAAACCACGCGTGCGGTACCCGCCTTTTTGAGCCTCTGGTCACCGAAGGCCACGCGTGCGGTACCCGCCTTTTAGAGCCTTTGGTCACCGAAAGCCACGCGTGCGGTACTCCGCCTTTAAGCCTTTGGTCACCGAAGGCCACGCGTGCGGTACCCGCCTTTTTGAGCCTTTGGACACCGAAGGTCACGCGTGCGGTACCCGCCTTTTGCGTGCGGTACCCGCACTTTAAGCCTTTGGTAAACGTTTCGGTATTTTTCCACGCTTTTAAGCGTTTTGTAACAGAAGAATTTCGGTTTGTTTCTAGATACATTAACTGTATTCCCTTTTCAATTAGACTTACTTAGCATATAAAACCGTTTCACTTCGATTCGTTTAGCAAAAAGATCCCAGCCGACAAGAACCGCCTTTGCACTGCAGCGCGGCGCGTAAGCGCCGCGCGCTGTGCTTGTCCTATATATTAAAGCAGAACCGTGATTCCGGAACGCTCCTGCCTCCAAAACCGTCTGATTGGCCAGAAAAACCTTACGTTTCTGATTGGCCGGAACCCGCCTAGCAACTATTTAAGCTTTTGCAGCCCCTTAAACCTGTGCTTTTACGCCTTTGTCCTTACCGAGTATTCGAAACTTAGTACCATCACCTGTGAAAACCTTCGCCTGATAAACCGGATCCCACCCTTATCTTTACCTTACTAAGCTTCAAAACCATAGTTCTTTAACAAACCTGATAACTTTAATTACCTTAGCAAACCTTGCGGTCCCACCTTTTAAGCGTTTAGTAACCGAAAGCCCCGAGTGCTTTACCTGCCCTTTTAATCCTTTGGTCACCAAAGGGCACGCGTGCGGTACCCGTCTTTTTGAGCCTTTGGTCACCGAAGGCCACGCGTGCGGTACCCGCCTTTTTGAGCCTTTGGTCACCGAAAACCACGCGTGCGGTACCCGCCTTTTTGAGCCTTTGGACACCGAAGGTCACGCGTGCGGTACCCGCCTTTTTGAGCCTCTGGACACCGAAGGCCACGCGTGCGGTACCCGCCTTTTAGAGCCTTTGGTTTCCGAAAGCCACGCGTGCGGTACACGCCTTTTAAAGCCTTTGGACACCGAAGGCCACGCGTGCGTTTTTCGCCTTTTTGAGCCTTTGGACACCGAAGGCCACGCGTGTGGTACACGCCTTTTAGAGCCTTTGGTTACCGAAAGCCACGCGTGCGGTACCCGCCTTTTTGAGCCTTTGGACACCGAAGGTCACGCGTGCGGTACACGCCTTTTTGAGCCTTTGGTCACCGAAAACCACGCGGCAGCTCCGCCTTTGAGCCTTTGGTCACCGAAGGTCACGCGCGGTACACGCCCTTTGAGCCTTTGACACCGAAAACCACGCGTGCGGTACCCGCCTTTTTGAGCCTCTGGACACCGAAGGCCACGCGTGCGGTACCCGCCTTTTAGAGCCTTTGGACACCGAAGGCCACGCGTGTGGTACACGCCTTTTTGAGCCTTTGGACACCGAAGGCCACGCGTGCGTTACCCGCCTTTTTGAGCCTTTGGACACCGAAGGCCACGCGTGCGGTACACGCCTTTTTGAGCCTTTGGACACCGAAAACCACGCGTGCGGTACCCGCCTTTTTGAGCCTCTGGACACCGAAGGCCACGCGTGCGGTACCCGCCTTTTAGAGCCTTTGGTTTCCGAAAGCCACGCGTGCGGTACACGCCTTTTAAAGCCTTTGGACACCGAAGGCCACGCGTGCGGTTTTCGCCTTTTTGAGCCTTTGGACACCGAAGGCCACGCGTGTGGTACACGCCTTTTAGAGCCTTTGGTTACCGAAAGCCACGCGTGCGGTACCCGCCTTTTTGAGCCTTTGGACACCGAAGGTCACGCGTGCGGTACACGCCTTTTTGAGCCTTTGGACACCGAAAACCACGCGTGCGGTACCCGCCTTTTTGAGCCTTTGGACACCGAAGGTCACGCGTGCGGTACCCGCCTTTTTGAGCCTTTGGACACCGAAGGTCACGCGTGCGGTACACGCCTTTTTGAGCCTTTGGACACCGAAAACCACGCGTGCGGTACCCGCCTTTTTGAGCCTCTGGACACCGAAGGCCACGCGTGCGGTACCCGCCTTTTAGAGCCTTTGGACACCGAAGGCCACGCGTGTGGTACACGCCTTTTTGAGCCTTTGGACACCGAAGGCCACGCGTGCGTTACCCGCCTTTTTGAGCCTTTGGACACCGAAGGCCACGCGTGCGGTACACGCCTTTTTGAGCCTTTGGTCACCGAAGGTCACGCGTGCGGTACACGCCTTTTTGAGCCTTTGGACACCGAAATCCACGCGTGCGGTACCCGCCTTTTGAGCCTCTGGACACCGAAGGCCACGCGTGCGGTACCCGCCTTTAGAGCCTTGGTTACCGAAAGCCACGCGTGCGGTACCCACCTTTTTAAGCCTTTGGACACCGAAGGCCACGCGTGCGGTACCCGCCTTTTTGAGCCTTTGGACACCGAAGGTCGCGTGCGGTACACGCCTTTTGAGCCTTTGGACACCGAAGGTCACGCGTGCGGTACACGCCTTTTTGAGCCTTTGGACACCGAAAGCCACGCGTGCGGTACCCGCCTTTTTGAGCCTCTGGACACCGAAGGCCACGCGTGCGGTACCCGCCTTTTAGAGCCTTTGGACACCGAAGGCCACGCGTGTGGTACACGCCTTTTTGAGCCTTTGGACACCGAAGGCCACGCGTGCGTTACCCGCCTTTTTGAGCCTTTGGACACCGAAGGCCACTCGTGCGGTACACGCCTTTTTGAGCCTTTGGACACCGAAAACCACGCGTGCGGTACCCGCCTTTTTGAGCCTCTGGACACCGAAGGCCACGCGTGCGGTACCCGCCTTTTAGAGCCTTTGGTTACCGAAAGCCACGCGTGCGGTACTCACCTTTTTAAGCCTTTGGACACCGAAGGCCACGCGTGCGGTACCCGCCTTTTTGAGCCTTTGGACACCGAAGGTCACGCGTGCGGTACCCGCCTTTTTAAGCCTTTGGACACCGAAGGCCACGCGTGCGGTACCCGCACTTTAAGCCTTTGGTAAACGTTTCGCATTATTTTTCCACGCTTTTAAGCGTTTTGTAACAGAAGAATTTCGGTTTGTTTCTAGATACATTAACTGTATTCCCTTTTCAATTAGACTTACTTAGCATATAAAACCGTTTCACTTCGATTCGTTTAGCAAAAAGACCCCAGCCGACAAGAACCGCTTCTGCACTGCAGCGCGGCGCGTAAGCGCCGCGCGCTGTGCTTGTCCTATATATTAAAGCAGAACCGTGATTCCGGAACGCTCCTGCCTCCAAAACCGTCTGATTGGCCAGAAAAACCTTACGTTTCTGATTGGCCGGAACCCGCCTAGCAACTATTTAAGCTTTTGCAGCCCCTTAAACCTGTGCTTTTACGCCTTTGTCCTTACCGAGTATTCGAAACTTAGTACCATCACCTGTGAAAACCTTCGCCTGATAAACCGGATCCCACCCTTATCTTTACCTTACTAAGCTTCAAAACCATAGTTCTTTAACAAACCTGATAACTTTAATTACCTTAGCAAACCTTGCGGTCCCACCTTTTAAGCGTTTAGTAACCGAAAGCCCCGAGTGCTTTACCTGCCCTTTTAATCCTTTGGTCACCAAAGGGCACGCGTGCGGTACCCGTCTTTTTGAGCCTTTGGTCACCGAAGGCCACGCGTGCGGTACCCGCCTTTTTGAGCCTTTGGTCACCGAAGGTCACGCGTGCGGTTTCCGCCTTTTTGAGCCTTTGGTCACCGAAGGCCACGCGTGCGGTACCCGCCTTTTTGAGCCTTTGGTCACCGAAGGCAACGCGTGCGGTACCCGCCTTTTGAGCCTTTGGTCACCGAAGGCCACGCGTGCGGTACCCGCCTTTTGAGCCTTTGGTCACCGAAGGCCACGCGTGCGGTACCCGCCTTTTTGAGCCTTTGGTCACCGAAGGCCACGCGTGCGGTACCCGTCTTTTTGAGCCTTTGGTCACCGAAGGCCACGCGTGCGGTACCCGCCTTTTTGAGCCTTTGGTCACCGAAGGCCACGCGTGCGGTACCCGCCTTTTTGAGCCTTTGGTCACCGAAGGCCACGCGTGCGGTACCCGCCTTTTTGAGCCTTTGGTCACCGAAGGCCACGCGTGCGGTACCGCCTTTTTGGTCACCGAAGGCCACACGTGCGGTACCGGCCGTTTTGAGCCTTTGGTCACCGAAGGCACCGCGTGCGGTACTCGCCTTTTTGAGTCTTTGGTCACCGAAAACCACGCGTGCGGTACCCGCTCTTTTAAACTTTTGGTAACCGAAGGTTACGCATTATTTGTCCACGCTTTTAAGCGTTTCGCAACAGAAGTACTTCGGTTTAACCCGTTTCTGGATACAGTAACTGTATTCCCTTTTCAATAAATCTTACTTAGCATATAAAACCGTTTCACTTCGATTCGTTTAACAAAAAGAGCCTTGCCGACAAGAACCGCCTTTGCACTGCAGCGCGGCGCGTAAGCGCCGCGCGCTGCGCTTGTTCATAATTATACTCACAATTATTGAACTTGGAGTAGCACCCCTGTACATAATCCTGGTTCCTGCTACGCTTCGGTCATGCAGTGCCCGCCAAAAGCGAGTGCACTTTTCTCGTTATGTTATATCTGTGTTTAAGAACTTGAATTTTGATGGCGTCGGCACTACGGTAACACATTATGCGAAGTGTTTTAATCGATATTGACAATGAGCTAGCACTCTTCGTAACGCTCTGGGCTTTTGTAACGCTTCCGCGCTCTCACACTAATTGCGAAGTTTCTCCAAGCTGTCAACCGGTTTTAATAAGCAAATCCAGTATGATGTGCTTCTCTTACGATTAGTGAAGAAACAGTAAGTGTAATAGAACTGCATGTACGAACTGCTGCTGCTGCACGAATTGCTCCGAACTGGTATAAAGGAGTGTGTTCACTGTGTCACCCTTCGGAGCCAAACTGTTGATCATAAACAACGAACAACTTAACAAATTCTTGGTATCTTGCGATACACGGCCTTTATTACCGTGACTATTACTGAAAAAATTAATAACAATAAATAAGTGACAAAATCAGTTCATTTATGTACAACAATCGTGTACAGAACGAGTATGCTTAGTTGCAAAGGGCGTGCCAAAAGTAACTCATCTTTAAACTTAACAGAAAGGCAAGCAGACAAGCAGTTTGTTTTATAAATTGTCGAAGTCGCATAACTCGTTAAGGATCCAGGGTATCACTGCCGGAAGGATACTGTTAACTTACCTGCATGATTTTCTCACTTCATTTAAAGCATCAGTAAAAACCGGCAACACGTTATGCCGCACATTTGTATTCACATACTTTTCAGTCAACTGCTAAAGGTATGTCTGGAACAATGGCCACTCTGTGGAACTTACTTGTTCTCCTGATTTTTCACCTGACTACGGCTAAACATGACGGTGAGTTACAAGGACTTTCTAAACGCGTTATCTTCTTTTCCTGCATTGCTTCCTTATTTTTTTTCCCGCCACTCGTAAAGCGGTATCACCTGTCTTTGTTAAAATTCCGTGGTGTAAGAAAAGGAGATAACGCGGTCGAAATACGTATGGACTTCTACGAGTATGTTACACAAACAAAACTTGATAACTAACGAAGTTTAAAGGCAAATTTACGGAATCTGATCCCGAGCCGCTGCCAGTGTTCTCCTCGGAGCCGATGGCCCTTGCACAGTGTGCATCACAATTCAGTGCTAACTGTCAGCCAGGGGTCTTTGGTGTCATCGGTTGTCCCTTCTTTCCGGCGCTCTACATCAACTGCACCCTTAATGCCACAGCACAGGAGATCCGTCAAATGACGGTATCGATGGCAAAGCCACCATTGCGGGCGGTGTTCGTCAATGTGCTGGATGGTGACCAGGTGAACTTTGACAATTTTGCCCCTGTCCGTCAGCAGATAATGGGATTCGACTTGGCTCACTGCGTTTCGTCACGAGCGACCGGCCGACTGGCATCGCTGCGATTGACGAACTTGCTGGACATCGAGATCGGAAGCTGCCGGAGTCTGGAGATAAAGAGGGCGGATTTCTGGCCAACACGGCAAGTCCGATGGATTCAGTTTTATAACACCACCATTTCGCTGCTAGAAAAGGGCACGTTTACCGATTTACCGGCGCTGCGTCTGTTGGCACTGGAAAGCTGGCTGAGTGATGAGGACGAATTTAGCGATGGAATACGGGAGTATATCAAGAATATGCATTGCGGCTGCGAGTTCGAGTGGTTCAGGCGGTGGTGGGACCAGAAACGCTTGCTGCACAAGGCAAAGCAGTTTGAAGTTTATCAGATTCAGCCGTTTTTTGTGGGTAATGTAGAACTAAATAAATCCCAAGTTTATTTGCCGGTTGATTGTGCAGCCGCTGTCTTTCCGACCGGACCCGACGGAATCGATTTTACGCAAGACGGATTTTCCATCAATGACGATGCCGGTAAGGAGAATATCCCGATGTTAATAAAGCGAAACCAAAAAAACCAAAAATAAAATTGTGTGTACAACGTAAGCTGTTAAGGAGAATTGTCCGGCACGTAGTACTAACTACATTTGTGTACTTTACAGTTCTGCTGTATCGCTTTTGCGGCTAGGGCAGTCCGGAACAGATTTTTGCACTTGTTGTTTTGTGCGTCTCTAAAGATAGTCAAGATACTCGTAATATTATGTAATTTGTATGCATCCGCCTGTAAAGCACTTGAGCGCGCAGCATCTGGTTGTTGAAACAACGCAAATTAAAATGCAAAAAAATTTAAATGAATTTCATAATTGATATTAGAGTTTTTTAGATTCTTAAATAAATTAAAAAATTCATGAAGGGTTTTTAAAATCTAAAAAATGATCGACTCCTGGTTTTGATTCAGTCTTCTGATACTTACATGCATTTCCCGAGGAAGTTTCGGAAAGGTCAAATAACACCTGACTTTTCGTGCATTACAATACCGTACTATTGTTGTTTTTAATGTTATTACGTCGATCAAGTTTTGTAGATCACAACAAATGGGGAGGCCGCTGCAGCGCCGACAAAGAAAATGGAGAGCCATTTCCTGAGGTCTCCATCGATCCCTTAACACCGGAAGAATGTGCCGTTCAACTGATCGGTCACTGCGGCCAGCAGGGAAATTTTTGCAACACTAATCCTGTTACCAGTACACCATTTTCGTATGACATACTCGACGAGAAGATCAAGGGCACGGAGAACTGCGCTTTGGGAAGCACTATCGAGCGAATCCGTCGGGTGGCAATCGCCATGGTCAAACTGCCGGTACGGCCGATCCTCTTGATGTTATACGATAAGACGCCGGTGACCTTCAGCGATGTGGCGCCGATGCGAAAGCGGATTGTCATCTTTTGCCTGGTGGAATCCATCACCGAGCGAACCACGCAAAAACTGCAGGACCTGCGTTTGACCAATCTTCTGGACTTTCAAATAATGAACAGCACAGATCTGGTCATTAGAAAGAGCGATTTCCAGTTTTCTGGCAAATTAAGGATTTTTCAGCTACGGAACACGACAGTGCGCTCGCTGGAAGAAAATGCTTTTAGCGATCTGCCAGCGCTCGTAGCGCTTTCGTTGGAGTTTCACTTCGATGAGTTACCAGGTTTTGATCAACGGATCCGTAGCTATCTGCTTAACCTGCACTGCAGCTGTGAGTTTGCCTGGTACAGAAAATGGTGGAGCAATAATTCGGCGTTACTGCGCGAGACGGTGTTCACGGGAATCTACTATATGGTTAACGCGTACGGTAGCGCTCCTTTCGAACGCAAGAACGTGTATGTGCCGATCGACTGTGCGAAAAATGTTCCGGCAGGACCGGATTCGGTGAACTGGAACCAGACTGATTTTTCTCTGAACGACAGCTGCTGATTCACTTGCTTGTCGTGGTGCTGGAATCGTATTTTGATAAATTAAACCATTACAGTACTTATAATTATGCCTCTAGCTGAAAATCGCTGGTATGGGTATAATTATGCTGACAAACTGCATTGTTCATTCGCAGGCTTTGCTTACTGTAATTTCGCTTTACATGTATTTTTGTGACACTCGTATTGCAGTTTCGCCGCAGTTACGAAAAATTAACGTTATTTATGTTGCTGCTTGTCAAGCTGTCATAAAGTGCGGCACGAACATAAAATTTATGGCAGGATACAAGTTATGACTTGACTGACTGTCCACTGTCTAGCATTTTTCAGACGCCTTTCGAAGAATCGCACGAGCTCATAATTATTCCATCGAGACACGGTTACTGTACGTGCCGGTGTTATCCATTAACAAACGCTAATTCTGGAAAAATTCTTGACTGTTGAATATTATGTGCACCGGCAAACTAAACATTTCCTTTACGGAATACCAAACATTTATTTCCATCTCGGTACTTACTAAAATACAACCTCTCATCTAGGAATTACTGTATTGCCTCAGGTTTAAGGAACGTAGGAGTTGGACGACGCGCTGATAACCTATGTAACTGCTTGGCACATTGTCAACGGATGATTTCAATCAAACTAAGCAGAAAATCAAGAAGACGGATAGGTAAATGACTAATGCTTTGAGCAGGCTATTCTCTAAACATCCAGGCAATATTGCCGGAAGAAAGCTGTAGCTCAACTACTAAAAATAATAATAAAATTAGAAAATCTCAGTAACATCCGGCACATTAGGCGCTCCAAAACATTGACAAGCTTTGTGTTGATTACGGATTACGATGGCTGCGCTTTGGAGTGTTCTGTCTTTTTTCTTGTTCTTCCAAATTTATCAGCTGACTGCCGGACGAAATGGAGGTGAGTTATTAAGAGTGCGTTACAGTACTAAATACAAATCTCAAATAAGTTTACCATTGATGCAGTTCACATACCGATTTGTGTTCACAACAGACAAAGTATTTACCGAATCCGACCGTGCGACAGTACCCATGTTTTCCCCGGAGCCGATGTCCCTGTCCCAGTGTGCACTGCAGTTTACCGCGAACTGCCAACCCGATTACGAAGGCTACGATTTCACTACCTGTCCCCTTATGGCTGGATTGGAAATCACCTGCAATACGAGCGCCACGTCAGACGAAATTCGGCAAATGACCATATCCATGGCGAAACCGCCCTTACGTGCAGTTTCCATCACTTTCTGCGACGGCAACCAAGTAGGCTTTGAGAATATCGCACCCGTTCAACGGCAGATATTTGAGTTCGCTCTGATTAATTGCGTCTCTTCGCGAGCGACCGGCAAAGTGGCAGCGTTAAACTTACCGAACTTGCTGGAATTCGATATAAGAAACTGCCGCGATTTTGAAGTCGAAAAAGCGGATTTCGCGTCATCACGACTAATTCGGTGGATCGAATTTGTTAACACCACAATACGGGTACTGGAAAAAGGCACGTTTAGTGATCTGCCTGCTTTGCGTCTGCTGTCTCTGGAAAGCCAGCTGAATACATTTAACGAATTCAGCGGAGATGTTCGTGAGTACATTAAACGAATCCACTGCAGTTGTGAGTTCAAGTGGTTCAGACGATGGTGGGATCAGAGGCGCTTACTGCATCAGGCGCAGGATTTCTCGGTGTATCAGATTCAACCGTTTCATTTGGGTAATCCAGCAAGAAACAAGTCCTATGTTTATTTGCCGGTTGATTGTGCGGCCGACAGTTTTCCAGCCGGAACGAAGGCGATTGATTTTGCACAAGACGGATTTTCCATAAATGACGATGCCGGTAAGAATGAGTCGAATGACAACCAACCGTATGGTTCCGATATAGTTATTATTTCCAACTTTGAAGCAAATTCCCTCTGCTTTTATAATGGCTTAGGAGCTAAAACCTGAAGGATTAATGAAGATACGGGGTAATGGTAACAAAACATACGTCTTTACTTACTTTTAACGAATGTTTGGTTTATGATAATTACAAGAAACAGCCTCGGCTTCGCCTCCGCGTTTCTTGTGGTCCCCAGTTTACGGCCGGTTTATTCATACGATTTCGATCAGCTGTGTAGTTAACATCTTATTCCTTCAGCAAAACAAAACGGTCCGAAAGTAGCGCTAAAACGTAGATAGGATAATAAATGAATTTACGGCTTTTGTGCACTCAGATGCATTCACTTTGACTGTGACTTTGACTTTGACTTTCAGATGCATTCACTGTTAAATTTTCCATCCCGACTCTGAGTCTACGAGGTAGAAAATTTCAACGTAAAGAAGGCTTGCAAAAGATGCTGGTGGTAGTTCGGTCATTCCATCACCTAGCGGGCTGTGTGCTTTGGAGAGTAGTGGTATTTCGATCACTCGTTCACCAAGCGGGCTGTGTGCTCTGGACAGTAGCGGTGACCGAAGTGTCACTCGTCCACACACAGCCCACGTGAACGTTTGCTCTGGAGAGTAGCGGTATTTCGGTCACTCGTTCACCAAGCGGGCTGTGTGCTCTGGACAGTAGCGGCACTTCGGTCACTCGTTCACCTGGCGGGCTGTGCTCTGGACCGCAGCGGTGACCGAAGTGTCACTCGTCCACACACAGCACACGTGAACGTGTGCTCTGGAGAGTAGCGGTATTTCGGTCACTCGTTCACCAAGCGGGCTGTGTGCTCTGGACCGCAGCGGTGACCGAAGTGTCGCTCGTCCACACAGCCCGCGTGAACGTGTGCTCTGGAGAGTAGCGGTATTTAGGTCACTCGTTCACCAAGCGGGCTGTGTGCTCTGGACAGTAGCGGTAGTTCGGTTTGTACCCAGACAATGGAAACGGTTTTTGCTGATTCTATACGGGAAAGCTGCGTTCGTTTATCCCTTTTTTTTGTAATAGTAGAGATCTCAAATGTAGATGCCGTATTACTATTCCGTATTATACGGAATAATTTACGGACTGTATATGCTGATTAATTACTTACTGTTCTTAGTTTTGCTCGGACTGCAATGAAAGGTCAGCCCGTGTGAACGATTGCGATGGTCAGTTTCTTTTACAGCTGCCTTCTAGTGGTTTTTAACGAGCGTTCTTATTCTTAAGTCATGGTTTGAGCGTTTATAATTGTTAACGATTTATTGAAACGAAGCCATCCACTAGCAGCATCGTTTTGTTACTGCTAATATTATTGATTTTTCTAGTTTTGTAGGAGTAAAAGTTTAAATCTTTTTAAATTGCTGGTCTAAAAGGTACCAGTTTAATTCTACTGATTTTTCACCATGCAACCGGACTTTGAAATTATTTTCAAGGTCACCTTGAGCTTTTAGCTCTACCGGCACCGGCACGGGAGCACGGGAGCCAGAGGAATAATTTTGAAACAAAATGCATGTGACACAGTTTCCAGACATGCGGAATCGAATGGCGTTATCAGCTTTTCGATTAATTTTTTGGTTTGTTCTGACCAGATCGTACGGGGTTTTCCGTTGTAATATAGATCTTTACCTTGATAATAATACGAAGTGGGTGCTTTTCCCGATCACTCTTTAGAAAAAACTCCTATTAACAATTACAGTAATACCTTTTGTAGATAACAACAAATGGAGAGGTCGTTGCAATGAGGACACGGACAAAGAGGAGTCGTTTCCCCAGATTTCCATAGAACCACTTACACCAGAAGAATGCGCCATTCAGGTGATCGCTCTGTGCGGTCAACTTGCAGTTAGCTGCGACAATGACACGCCATTGACCTATGATATATATGATGAGAAAATGTTGAATCATTCGACTAACTGCACTCTTGGCAGTACGGCTGACCGCATCCGCCGCGTGGCCACCGCTATGATCAGACTGCCTGTGCGACCTGCGACCTTAGCGCTGTACGACAAAACACCAGTGACCTTTGACGACGTGAAGCTAATACGGCAGCGAATTCTCGTGTTTAACCTAGCTGTATGCATTAAAGAACGAGCCTCGCAAAAACTGCAGCATCTGCGTTTAACTAATCTCATAGAGTTTGTGTTGTTCAACTGTTCGGATCTGATCATCCAAAAGAGCGATTTTCAGTTTTCACAAAAATTAAGGATCATTGAGCTGCGGAACACCACGGTGCGTGCGCTCGAAGTGAATACATTCAGTGGTCTGCCAGAGCTAAGTGCGCTTTCGTTGGAGATGTTTTTCAATCGATTGCCGGCTTTTGATCAACGCATCCGTACTTATCTGTATAACCTGCACTGCAGCTGCGAATTTGCCTGGTACCGAAAATGGTGGAGTAATAATTCAGCGTTACTTCGCGAGGCGGAATTCGGGGGAATCTTCCAGCTTGTTAACGCGTATATTAGTTTTCCGTTCCAAGGCAAGAACGTATATGTTCCCATCGACTGTGCGCAGGAAGTTCCATTGGGGCCGGATTCGGTGAACTGGAACCAAACCGAGTTTTCTCTTAATGACACCTGCTGATTCACTTTGTTTTAGTTGTGTTGGAAAGAGACAGCAGACAAAGACTAAATAGTTATGGCTTATTGTTAGAGCTTTGCGCTAAATCACTGCTCTGGTTTGTTACTCGTAGCAGCTGTGCAGTCTTCATGGCGCCATTAATCTTTCTGTCATTACTCAAAAACAGGAAGTGCGTTCTTAATAGTTCCGGAATGTGCGGCACAAGCATGAATAACATAAAATCAACAGCAACCTTTGCACTACAATTGCCATACAGTCTGTCAAAACCAGTTCTCCCTAAATCGCAAGGAAATTGATTGTATCTAGGAAACCGGCTAACTGCAAGTGTCGTTTATGAAGAAATAGCAATCCGTACGAACAGAACATACGAGGAGTAAAGACGGCATTATTATACTCTTACGTAAATGGTCTAGACTCTAGGCATCGTCGTTTGCTGCTTTCAAAATTGATCATTGCATCGGTGGACCAGTGACTAAATCCCAGTTGAACCACAAAACAGAATCCGGAAAACTTCGCAAATTTTAGTCCAAGGAAATCAATCACGAATAACAAAGCTTACACGACTTTTGTTTTTTATTAATACTGATTTAATATGAGCGATGAGTCGGTCTGATGAGCACGTAAACTGCGTAGCCAGGTTTCCAGTGTCGCTAATTAATTAATTAGTTTACTACCACATGAAACCCATACATATAATTCCTGTTTGTCTTATGAAAGTAGGGCTTATCCTGTGACTTCCGCCCATGCACAGAGCAGGTTGGCCAGTTTTTCCAATTCGCAATTAATGCTCTTCGCAACAAAGATGGTGCAGAAATGCAGCACTTGCAGGAACTGTAGCAGTACAGTGCATTTCACCAAATGCGGTGAGAAGCATCGCTTTTCTTGTTGGCGTTTTTCTGGCCTTGCATTTGTGCCGAACCTGAATATTAATGCTGAGAGAGATGTGAGACTGCCAAAAATTTGCGTTAATGGTACAAAGATTCGCAGTAGTCGAAGACCAGCGTTTGCCGGCTACATCACGCGGAAAGAAAGCCGGTTTCGCTTTGAGCATAGACTATGTGCCGCCGTGCCAGTATCTATCCAGGCATGAGTCTGTGCGTCTACCTACGGGTAGAAATTAGAATTTAGTCAAAGTGCGGTGTCACTCGTTAAAAACTGCTGTCTCAGTCATTGTTCTCGGCAGACGTCGGATGCAATTATGCCGCGAGGAGAATGAGAAAGTAATTGCGGAGTTACGCAATCCGTAGCCTTGTATCTACTGCACATAAAATGCTGGAATCAGAAAGCAAACCAAAATATAATCCTTATTTTCAGCTGCGGTTTCTTTGCATTGGCAATGAATATGTTAGCATTTATTCCGAATTCAGTGCAGTCACGTTAATTCTTATCAACAACAACGCCATGAATTCCATCTTCTATCTATTTATCTCGCTAGTTGCTCTTCGTAATCTTCTCACTTATGCTTTGACGGACAAGAATATAGGTAAAAAGGTTACTGCGGCAACTTTGGAGGAGTTCCCCGTCTTCTCCATGGAGCCAATGACAAGTAATCAGTGTGGACTGCAGTTCACTGCTGCCAGAGCGTTCGGCTCTGAGCTCACGTCGGTCTCGGATTGGACCGCCGGATCGGAGCTGCCGAGCCGCTCTTGTGCAGTCGATTCCATTCATCGGATTCTCCGATTCATTACGATGATTTTTGGCCTCAGTGAAAGATCTCTAGATTTTCACTTCGGTGTTTTTCTGTTTTTCTTTTCGCTGATGATTGGTGTTTTTGTTTACGATCTAATAAAATACGATTTTATTCGATCTTGTTTGGTTTCATTTCCGGTCCCGATTCTCGCTCACGTAGAAACGTATCGCTCAAATCAGCCATCCTTTCATGGTGGAGATGCGAGTCGTGTAACGACCCTGTACTGATATTACGATCAATAAGGAGAAGTGTGGTTTGAGCAGATGCGCCGAGTTTTCTAATTCTGAAGAGCGAGTGTAACGATTACTTTGTGTTTTCTGATCTGTTTGTGTCGACAATTAGGCGCAAACGGTTAATTTTTAGTGGATCCCTGTACGATAGCGTGTTGGAGCGAAGAAATTCACCGACACCGTCGTGAATAACCGATTCCAATTTCCCGATTCAACTTGTTGCTACATCTCCGGAGCAGCAACGGTATTCCCCCATACCCAGCCCACCCGAACGATTTTCCTGAATTCCTGTGGATCGGAGGACGCCTAACAAGCCCTGCGATCGACGGTTGAGTCCTGAGGAAGTGCGTGGTGGCAACTGAAGAACCTACGGATTTGTGAAGCACGGACGAGTTTCTTCACGTTTTGACGACCCCTGGATATTTCTGGTAAGTTCTGCTTGCAGAAGCAAGTATAGATCTTTATTTGAAGAGGAAATCGATGATAACGGATGCGATAATAACACTGAAAAAATCGGAAATTCTTTTGTGTCGTTGATCGTGTCGATGCCTGGTTGAACTTTTGCCCTGTTGCGATTGTTCGACGTTCGTGCGTTGATTTCTTGATTTTCCGTGTTGATTCAGTGATATCGTGATTCTGACCTTTCTAAAAAATTCTCGATCATTAATTTCGTTGAAAAATGAGATTAGTTGATCGATTAATTATGCATGTTGACTGAAACGATACCATGTGTGTGAACGAAATGAAGTGAAGTTGTGAGAAATTATTTGAAAATTAATCGTGAATTTAATTCGAATTATTATCGACTGAGTTTTGCGATTGATTTTGAGGTTGATTTTAATAATATCGATTCGAGAATGATCAGATCGCCAACAGGACAGCAGAGAAAAGGATTCATTTCGTCGATTGTAGATTCGGTGCAAAATATAGCACAGAACCTCTCTCCTCGTAGTAAATCGAATAACGCGATAAATCAGGATAATGAATCGATGAATACGCAGACAGTTAAACCGAAGCCAGCAGTTAAAAAAGGGACGAAAGCGAAGGTAGTAGTTCCCCCTCCTCCAGTAACTCATGCGGTAAACACTCGATATGGGACGAAGCATCGACAGGTTCAGTCGGAAGTCCCTGCACGGGAAACCGCTGAGCCCAGCTCGCTCCCTGAAAAATCGGCAGTAATTCCGGAAGCGATTGACGGTGACCGCCCGGCGTCAACGTCAAGAATCGCTGATATGGTCGATAACGAGATGAACGATAATTCATCAGCCGCTGATGGAAAACGGAACGATTCTCGATCAAGTGAAATGTCTATCGATTCGATTCTAATGGGAGATGAAGATTATAGCGATCCGTATGCGCTTGGTGAAGTGGACAGTGAGGGCGAACTCAGTCTCCACAACACCACTGCGGTCGATTTGCGAACGCCTTTCAAAAGAAGCACGGTTGTACGACGCAGCCCGCTTCCGACGATGGGCGAAATACCCGCTAAGCTTGGAAAAGAAAAATCGCCATCATCGAACGAAAGTAAAACGAGTTTTCGGTCGGCTATCGAGCCTGAAAACCACGAAAAAATAGGAAAATTTTCGATCGATAAATCTGCGATGACTGGTACCGAGTACGCACAGAACCTGCGTTTAGCGGACGAAGTCGCTGGTAAATTACAGGACGAGCTAACGTTGGCTCACCAAGAAATCGCTGAACTAAAGAAAGTCATTCGTGCAAATGCCGATAAAACCGATGGTGGTGATGAATCAATTTTGGTCGAGGCTCTAGAGCGTCTGAAAACTCTGCAAGCAGAGATTTCCACGTTTAGAGCTGCTCTGAAGTTACGCGATGATACGATTACCGATCACGAAGGAACGATTGCTCGATTACGTGCTGAAATGCAGAAGTTTCAGGATAGAGTCGCGATCAGTCAACGAGAACTGGTCGATGAGAAGACAAAATTGGAAGCAAAGGTGAAGAAGTATGGCGGAAAGCTGCTCTTGGTTGGCCACGCCAAGATGCAGCAGGACGCCGAAATGCAGCAGATTATGGAAGATCGAGATCGATACCGCCGTGAGCGTAATGAAGCTCAGGATAGATTCGATCGGTTAGCTGCAGATTACGATGCCTTGCAAACGATGTGTGAGGATTTGGAGAATCAGTTGCGATCGCGCCCTGTTAGTCCGGCACAGCCTGCCGGACATCGGGGACAGCCGTCGCGAACCGAACGAGGTGGTAGTGGAATTAGTCGCGGTTGTTCGCCGGCCGTTGAAAAACATACCGGCGAAGCAGCCGGAAGTGGTGACTTTCGCCGTCGACAATCGATTAAAGAAACAGTTATCGATAAGGCAGTGGGTGGTAGGTTGAGAACGGTTGCCCGTTCTCCCGCCGATGCCGAAAAGGAAGTAACAATCGTAAAGGAAGTCGCGAAACCGGTGCCCGAGGTCAAGGCCGATTTGGCTAAGATCTTTAAGGGTAATACGGTTAATCCAACGAAGTTCGGTGGATCGAAAGACAACGTTGAAAGTTTTGTCCTTCGATTTCGATTGGCAGCAACAGCAAACGGTTGGGATGAGTCGGAGAAACTCGCCAACCTGGCTAACGCTGTCAAGGACGACGCCTTGACTTGGTTCGATGGGTTGTTGACCTCGCCGTCAGCACCCACTACAAGCGAAGGGTTCTTATCGAAGATGGTTGAACGATTTGGTGATAGTAAGAAGTCAGTTAACGCGTTAACGGAACTGACGAATCGATCATATCGACCTGGACAAGAATCGCTTGAGCAGTATCTCCAGACGATGGAAATACTGCGTGATCGAGCGAATTTCCAGGGCGATCCAGAACATTTCGTATCGTTCGTTATGCGTGGATTGAAGACCGATCAGAAAGTGTATGATAAAGTGATGACGAAACAGCCGGAAACGATCGATCAGCTTCGCCAGTACATTCGTTATCTGGTGTCTAGCGATCCAGATGGGTTCCAAGTCCCTATCGATAACAAGGCGCGAAAGAATCAGGAAAGATCGAAAAACGATTCAGCTGCAGTGCATGCGGTCGATGCTGACGAAGCACGATCGGATGCCGGCGGCAGCCAGAGAGGAAAATCGAACGATGGCGCTGCTGGTGGGTTTGGTGACCGGTCCCGGTCACCTGCCCGTGGCGCGCCTCGTGGTCGTGGTAATTTCGGTGGAAACCGCGGCAGCTTCGGCCGTAGCGGTGGAAACAATCGAGGCGGTTTCAATAACAATGGAGGTGGATTTGGTGGTCGCGATGGTTTCGCTGGTCGTCAGTACTCTGGTGGTTCTGGTAAAAGCG